GAGCAGTATTGTTAATTATTATATGTATGCCCTCATGAACATCGTTATGTCTAAAAATTACCTTCATTAATGCATCAAGTTGTTTGGCACCTCTATTTCTTTCGCGCTTTGCCTTGTTAGCAATACCTATGAAACATTTAAACTAAATAACATAATTCATTCCATGATCCAAGTTCTAATCCAATTCCAATGAGGAGGTTTGTAAAAAAGGAAAAATCTTGAAAATCAATTACCTTTTGTAGGTGGGATCCTCTTTGCCTTCCTCAGCGAAGAATATAAGATATCGAATGATGGCATCACCATTGGAAGTTTCTAAAATGCACCGATAGCTTCGATTGGAGCTATTGCTTTTTCCTGGAAGAAAGGTAACGAATCAAAATTAATGCCTGTTCATAATACTAACGATTTTTCCATTAGAAGTAAGGAAGATATTAACAACCTGAATCAAAACAAGATTTCAATAATAAAAAAAAAAAGAGCACAAGTAATTTCATGATAATGCATTTTCGTCTTCAAAGAAAGGACCATTATTGGCCCAAACCAATTACACTATTAATTGGCCCAATCTTCATGTTCTGCAAACCTATATCACAGAAGGTGTCCCACATTCATCACCCAAACTGTACAAGCAACCACCTCGTGCCCATCAACCACACTTCCACTCGCTACTTTATATGTCAACCACATTAGGATTTCTCCGACAGTTCCTTTGCCAAGCAGGGTCCACCCTCCTCTTAGTACCAAGCTCTGATTGCAAATAGATGCTTTTACCAGCATTAATTTGAAGAGGGATATCAATGAAATCAAAAGAGATCACTAATAGAAATAACGGAGATTGACGAAGATCACGAAGATTGACCAATATTATGACTTAACATAATTATGTATATAATTGTATTTACCATATTTCAGTTGATTACATCTATTATATTTAAATTGATATTATTCCTATATAATGTAAGAAATTCAGTATATTGCTGAATTTTTGGTCGGTACATTAGCCGTTAGAGCTTTTATTGGAACACAAATTATGTATTCGATCGAGTTCTCCCGATTGATAGAGTTCATTATATGGTCAGCACATTTCGTGAATTTCTTTTGAAAATTCTTCTTAGGGTGTGAGCTCTCTGGAGTGGTTTTGGAGTGTTCTTGGAGTGGTTTTGAAGTGATTCTTGGCTGTTTCTGCAATATTTGTTGTTCTTGGGTCTCTCGTCATCACTCTGTAATTTGGGTCTTTTCTTCGTGAGCATTGTCACTGTCGCTAATTCATGATTACAAATTGATGCTTTTATCAACCAGCATCAATTTGAGGGGGATGTTAATGAGGTTAAATAAGATTACAGAGATTACCATTATAATTGTACCATATATAAATAGATTATTTTTACCATATTTAAATTATAGGTTACCATAGTTAATAATGTAATTGATTGCTACTATATTTAGTTGTGATTTTGATTCGATACAATGAGAGAACCTCCTACATTAAGAAGACATCGAGTCTTATTGAGTATCTTTGAGCATATTTGACATGCCTTACCGAAGCTTAATCTAAGTCATTAACCTGTAAAAATGTGTAGTACCAAACAAAGTGAGGAAGGATATTGCGTGCATAATCTAGCCCATGTTTGAGCCCCATTCTTTCTCCTTTTTTCCCATTCATTTTTCTACGGTACTCATTTTCAACCACACATTTTCCAAATAAAATAATATCACACAAATCTAAAACTTTTCATCATTTTTTTACCACACATTCTCCCATCAATCATTATTCAAAAACTAACTCTTCCTAAAAAAAAGGGGGTCAAACACCCACCTAGATAACATATATCAGATAACAAAAAATAACTAATATCAACAAAATTTTAACCTCTAGAAACCTTGGGAAACCAAAACTAATAATCAAAATCATTTACTTACCATGACAACCGAAGATGAACTTCAGAAGGTAGATTAGGCCAGTCCAATTTTATGAAAAAACTAACAAATCCAGTGCGAAAATCAATAGTAATGTACGACTACAAGAACTACATCTATGAAACTCAAGAGTGGTGCTATTAAATAAAATAAAGCAGCCCACAAAATAAAAAATCTAATGTTCCTAGAAAACTTAGAAATAGTTCTTGAAAGAATGAACAAAATACCTTTACTTCTCTTGTTGGTTTGGTTACTATAGTTGTAATATAGCCTCCCTGCATGGTCTGCATTTGCTTGCACAAGCAGAAAGTTGGGTACATAATCTTTTTGGGCACAGAAATTAAACCTACATAGTTGCGGGAAATATGTTAATTAAAACGAAAAGGATAAGAAAAAAGGAAAAATCAAGGAAACAAGTGAAAAAAATTGAATTGTGCCTTTATAGAAAATTGAGCGCCTTAACAGTATAGACGACGATGGCTTTTGCCACACCTGTAATAGACTCGAGCTTCTGTTCATTCTCTCTTTCACACGCACAGACAGAGACGAGACGAGTGCGAATGTTATCGAAGCTGCGAGGAATTCATTTACTTGATGATTAAGGCTATGTTTGGTACCAATTCGCATTTTCAACCACACATTCTTCAATAAAATAATATTTTCTATCACATCAATACTTTTTTCTTCTTTTTCAACCACACATTTCCCATCATATCACTATTCAAAATCAATTCTTCCCCCAAAAAATCCCTACCAAACACACACTAAATAAGAAATACGAGAATCTTAATGGACTTGGCAAGAAAATAATTTGTTTTTTATTATTTTAATTTACTTCTTACTTGGCCCAAATCACCAGTTAACCTATATGATACTGGCACCGATTATTTGTTTTTAAATTTTTCTCTTAATTATAACTACACATTCTCCAAATAAAATAATATTACACAAAAATCTAAAATTTTTCATTACTTTTCAAAGACACATTCTTCCATCAATCACTATTCCAAAATTTATAATACACCCAAAATGGGTGCCAAAACACAAGCTATATATACTTGGGTCTTTTGGCACTTTGTGAGACATACATACACGCAGGGGCAGAGTCAGGAAAGTAATTCAGTGCGAGCACAATTTATCGATATTGAACGTTGAGTTTTTGGTTGTGGATTTAATGATGATAAAAATATAAAACAANCCCCGAAATGAGTGCCTTGTCGCAATAAAAGTCGAACACAATCAATAGTTGCATTAAGACGGGTAACATATGCACTTCTTATTTGTAGAAAACTGATTGAATGTGTTGGTCTTGATTCATCAAAACTTCGCATTTAATGCGAGTTTGATTATGTGCACCATCATGTTCTCCAACATAAGAATGAAGCTTTTTTTTATCTTTCCAATATGTAAAACCTTCGACAACATCCACCTTGCTTTCTAGAACTTGGTTTCCATCCCCAATCCCGTCTATGTATCCCGATTCCAAAATCCATAATCGGAAGCCTCTCAAAGCCGCACAACTCTCCCAAGGACGCCTTAAAATCCCCATTCACACCTGCTACAGCAATGCCAATAGCAAAAATAATAAAAAGCTCAAAGCAATTGACCTGCAGAAGCTCATTCAAGACTCCCCCTACAAATTTGATACCAAAGATTCTCCCGCTTCACTTCCGAGTATGTTTTATTTTATTATTTTACTGGGTTTGCGATTTTGATGTTTACTGGGGATGAATTATTGATTTTTGGATTTTCAGGGCCTTTAATGTCTGCCCAATTGTCTGATTTGAGCTCGGGAGTAAAGGAAGCAGGAATACCTCTATTTTTTCTTCTTCGGGGTCAAGAATCGCCGGCAGTCACGGAGGCGAAGCAGCTGGTCAACTGGTCTAGGGCTCGAATCGAGCAGCTGCTGTCCTGCGGAACTTCATGGACTCAGGGGCTGAGGTGGCGAAGCAGCTGCGGCCTGTGAGACCTGAGGCGGAGGGAGGTGGAGGAGCCTGAATTGAGATGGAGGCTGGAGCTGCGTGAATGATGGTTTCAATTAAATGGATTGGACTGGGGAATGGTGCTGGGCCGTCTACATTAGGGCTGGGGAATAGTGTTGGGTCTCTTGGGCTGGAAGACAGGCAGTAGACATATTAATAAAAAAATAAAAAACAACTGGGACATTAGGTTGGGCCCAAGAATTCAGTGCAGGCCTTTTCATGCACTAGACCTCTTTGGGCTCCTCCCCTGCATACACGCGACTTATTCTTGTGACAATAATGCTAGAGAAATATAGAGTTTGACATAAAATTTGATATAATACCACGTGGCATTATATCATTGAGCAATTTAAATTACAGTTAACTTTTATATCCAATCACTTCTTCCACTTGCAATTATGTTAAGTCTTCTGTCAAAGTATTATCTTTCTTGTAAAATAGCGGATGGCTCCTTCTTGTTCCTATTCTGCCTCTGCTTCTGTCGTGGCTACCATGATCGTTCCATTTCCTTTCTCTTGCTGTTGATTAATGTTGGCATTGCTGTGTGTACCGACACCTTTGTGGTGGGACCCTTCTCACCGATTTCTACCCATTCGTGGCTACTTCGTTCGACCAATCTTTATGGTAAATCATTTGGGTGATTTCTTCGTGGTTTGTGTAAGATTCTTGGTACAACCAAGTGTGGTGTTGCCTTGTGATCTTGGGTTGATAAATTTGAGCCTCGTAACCACCTATTGCTACTATTTCGAATTCGATAGGGAAGTTTGGTTTCTTGCTTATTTTTACATTGATTCATTATTGATATTTAATTGATTAGAAACTTTCTTTGTGATTTGTTTGTCAATGGTAAGTTATTCTATGCCTTTATCTTTATTATCATCTAGATGTATGGTTGAGTTACAAGATATCCATACTTGATTGCCATATATGAGAAGATTGGAAAAGAAAATACAAGACTTTGCAATACATACACATTCCAGATTAAGAATTTAAGAACTTGCTTTTACATTTGAAATTCTTTTGGGATGAATACTTTTTTGTTTCATTTTTCACTTCCAAGATATCATTTAAATTTAAACTACCATATAATTTAAAGTTTCAAACACTATATGCCAGATACTCAGAAGTTATGTCCCCAAGCCACAACTTTCTTGACGTGTTCATCGTTTATTTTTGAAATTAAATACAAATTTGAAATCAGAGTTAAATATTGAACCAATACATAGTCGATCTCCTCTAAATCCCAAATCTAATTCTACTCTAAATTTGTCACTTCTCTTCCAAGACAATTCTGTCGCATAATAAAGTCGAAAAATATAATTGTTGCACTTGCATACCACAAGTTCACTACAGTAACTAGTAGCTGATTTTATTATTCATTGCAGCTTTTAAATGATCGAAACTGCCTTAAATGAATCTTATGCTATAATTATTGACATCCCAACCGATCTTTAATATTTACTGAGAAAACTTTCACTTTCTTGTTGCTCCTCTAGAAGTAATACTACTTGATATTGATGGACCACTGTGTGATTCAGATCATATTCACTACTATGTTTTCTAAGAAACGCTGCAAGAGGTTAAACCTTCTTTTTCTTGACTAGATTTTATGTTTATGTGCTAGTTCCTATCAATATCTTTATCTATTGCATCAGAGAGTTCAACTAATATAAGTATGTCTAACAGGTAGGTTGACCACTGATAAGGGAAGAATTCTTCATAAAAAACATTAGGGGCAAGCATAATGAAGATAAGAGAGAGGAGAGATACTAGAGATGCTAGAAAGAGGTCTCAATGTGTGAGATGTCATAGTGTCAGGGTTTTAGACATGTTAGAGCCTAGTGCCCAAGTTATAAGAAAACCCTAAACAAGGTTATGAACTCTACTCTCACTAATAATGAATCTAGCTCCGATGATGATAGTGAGAACTCCAATCCAGATGAGGGTGTGAATTATATGACGTTTGCCTTTGTGGTTAAGAGTGAACTAATAGAGGAGAATGAGAGATTTGAGGACATAAAGAAATGAGCGGGAAATTTATGAGGCATTTGACTAACCGTTTGAGGAGAGCCTTAAGGTGAAGAAGGTTAATAGCTCTGCCTTTAAGAAATTACATAAACTAAAGTTAGAAAATGAAATCTTAGAAGTCAAACTTGAAGAGTCAACTAGATGATTTAATGAGTTGAGGGTCAGAAAGAGTCCTTAAAAATTAAGGTTAAGATTCTTACGAGTGATTTTGAGAAATCTAGTGCCCAACTTCAATTTTTTTCTAGTGGATCTAAGAATCTTGACAATATGGTAGGATTGAATAAACTAGCTAGGAATGGGAGAGGTTTATCAAGTCTAAGAGTGTAGGAGTCCTAGAACAGAGATCATCAGTGCAACATAGGGTTTCTCAACCTAAAGTTCAAAACTTAAAATCTAGAGTTGCTCATAAGCTCATTCCCACTTGTCACCACTTTGGTGAGTTAGGTCACATAAGACCTATGTGCCACAAGCTCTTGGTTATGAACAACAATCAGGACATCACTAATCATGGAAGGTCCTTAACTAATCAAGTTAGTTACTTGACTAAAATATTGAGTTACTTAACTGTGATGACATCTTCTAGAAAGGTCTGGGTTAAAAGAGTGAGCTCACGGGTCAAGAATGGTGTTGCTGTGTTGCTCTTAAAGGTAAGAGCGTTTGTATACCTCATTGAGTAGGTCTATATATAGGTGCATGCATTTGCAGTGTTCATGATATCTACCTATTCATGCATGCCCTCTAACTTTTTTCTTGTCTCATTTGTTTTGCATGAATTGTTTTATTAAATAAAAAAATCAAATAAAGGGAAAATAATTTTTGATGCTATAATACTTTAAATTGATTGGACATGTTATCTTATGATCAAGTACTAATAAAATTCATGAACGGTGAATAAAGTTTCTATTAACTTTGTTTAGAATTTGTTTGAAGTACTTGGTATATGTTACTTCATGTATATTCTGAACTGCACACATTAAGCTCTTGTAAGTCAGTCTTAACCATGTGTGTGAGATTTGGAATGCGATCATCGGTGTGGCGAGGTGACCTTGAATATAGAATAACCTTAACTAGCGACATAGCTCGTGTATGTTCACCAAAAATAAATTTGTATTGAGCTTCAAAAAGATTAAAATTTCATCGAAATTGTGATAGATCTTATACTTCTCTTTGTAACTTTTACGACTTGAGTAATTAAGTTTGCTGAGTATCTAAAAATCTGGTGCCATATAGTCATTTGACTTGGAAGTCATTGGTTCAAAGCTCGTTACATGGGTTATTTAGAAAGTTTAATGAAAAAAAGGATGGCATAAGATTTGAAAAAAATGGAGAAAGAAAAAAGAAATATATATTATATGTGCGCGTGCGCACACATGCTTACAGATAGGGGAAGAAAGAAAAAGTTATACAATAAAAAATATAAATATTAGCTCTTTTGTTTAAAATGTCCTAGTAGCACTGAGTTTGACTATTATAATTTGAGGAAAATATTTATCCACCCATGATTTCTTTGCATGTCATTTCTCACTGATTTAAGATTTTGAGTCTTGTTTATAGGATTGTTTATACAATTTACTTCATATAGGTTTATAATGATTTATGTAGAAAAAGTTCATTGTTTATTATTATGCATGTATAAGTAAGAAATTAACTGTTCATGTGATCGCATGATTTAAGCTTTCAAGACATGATGTTACATTTAAAAATCCATGAAAAAGATGTTATTTTGTAAATGAAAAAAATAACACTCTCATCTCATGGTTTGCATAGTGTGTCCATGTGTATAGTTTTTCATTTTATTTCTCTTTGTGTTATTTATGATTGTGTTATGTGTTAGTATTTATTTCAGGGAGGTGAGTAGTATATGAGTTAAGAAGAGTAATTTTTTCCTTTTTTTTTTTTGGCATTTGAGTTAGGGAGTAAAATATTTTTTTATTGATAATCTAATTAGCAGAATTTGATGATTTGCTTTAACGATATCATGTCAAGTATTTTATAATATCGATATCAAATTTCGAGTTACTGGTAACACTATTGATATATTTATCACAACTTGTCATATTTTAGTTTCTAAGTTATTGATAAACGTAGCGTTACATGTTTTGGTGTTACTCATGTTTTACTTACGTTGTTTATATGACTTAGTTATATGTTTTATTGTATGTATTCTCACTTTTACACGTTATATTGTTGATTTCATGTATTTCAGAAAACAAGTATGACAAGATGTTGAGGTGAAGATTGAGTATTGAGTCTTTGGGTTAGTAATGTTAGGTTGTGTTTATTGTGTAATGTTGAAATAAATGATTTTGTCACGAAATGTCGAAGAGGTAGTTTTTAGGTCCAAATTGTATTGGCTAGTTCCATGTCCAAAATCCTAATTTATTTAGTTCTAATTAAGGCTAAAGAGTCTGGAGTTGGGATTGTGTTTGAAGGAGTCAAAGCCTCTCTAGAAGACTAAGGGTATATTATGTTTACCATTTTCAAGCCGTTTTATGTTTTCGAATTTTCAAAACAGTGAAAATGCGTTCTCTTTCCTATTTTCGAAAACAGGTTTTTGAAAACAAGTTAAAAATTTACAAAAAAAAATCCAAAACGACAAATTTATCGTTTTGAGTGTTTTCAATTATAATCAAGGCAAAATTTTCAAAACGCGTTTTTAGTGTTTTCAAAACATTTTTTCAAAATGCCAAAAAAAACACATTTTCAAAAATTTCAAAATGGACACTCAAAACACAAAACCCAAAAAAAATTTAAAACTTAAAACACAAAATTGAAATATAAAGAGAACATCCCCTAAATCGTTGTAAGAATGCTCGCTTTATGCCTGGAAAACCGCTCTAGCAATTTTTGCAATAAAGTCACCACTTGCTGTCCACAAGCCTATCGCTCGAGTGGTGGTGTTATCCGCCAAATCCTAGCTCGCAATTTCTATAGTTTTTACAGTCTTATACAACCT